GAGTACTAAGATAAGTACTAGTCATAATTTTCTTTGTTTTTTTTATTTTTTAGTGCTATTACTAATGGTTTTTTTCTTTTTGTAGGTTTTGTGCTTCGCTAAGAAGGGTTAATAGAGGCTAGAATTAAGATCTTAACCCCAAAACTAGTACTAAGATAAGTATCAGTTTATTTTTTCTTTGTTTTTTCATTTTTTAATACTATTACTAATGCTTTCTTTCTCTTTTGTAGATCTTGTGTTTTGCTAAAAAGAGTTAATAGAGACCAGGATTGAGATCTTGACCCTGAAACTAGTATTAAAATAAGTACCAGTCATAATTTTCTTTGTTTTTTTCATTTTTTAGTGCTGTTACTAACGCTTTCTTTCTTTTGTAGGTCTTGTGCTTCGCTAAAAAGGGTTAATAGAGACTGAGATTGAGATCTTGAACCCCAAAACTGGTACTAAAATAAGTATCAGTCATAATTTTCTTTGTTTTTTCATTTTTTAGTGCTGTTACTAACGTTTTTTTTTTTTGTAGGTCTTGTGCTTCACCAGGAAGAGTTAATAGAAACCAGGATTGAGATCTTAACCCCAGAACTGGTACTAAGATAAGTACCAGTCATAATTTTCTTTGTTTTTTCATTTTTTAGTACTGTTACTAATGCTTTCTTTCTTTTGTAGGTCTTGTGCTTCACTGGAAAAGGTTAATGGAGACTGGAATTGAGATCTTGAACCCCAGAACTGGTACTAAGATAAGTACCGGAATTTTCTTTGTTTTTTTTATTTTTTAGTGCTATTACTAATGTTTTCTTTCTCTTTTGTAGATCTTGTGCTTCACTGGAAAGGGTTAATGGAGACCGGGATTGAGATCTTGACCCCAGAACTGGTATTAAAATAAGTACCAGTCATAATTTTCTTTGTTTTTTCATTATTTAGTGCTGTTACTAATGCTTTCTTTCTTTTTTATAGGTTTTGTGCTTCTTTAGAAAGGGTTAATCGAGACCGGAATTGAGATCTTGACTCTGGAACTGGTACCAAGATAAGTACCAGTTTATTTTTCTTTGTTTTTTTCGTTTTTTAATACTGTTACTAATATTTTTTTTTTGTTGTGTACTTCTTGTGCGTTGGCAGGAAGGGTTAATAGAGACCAGAATTGAGATCTTAACCCTGTAACTGGTACTAAGATAAGTACTAGTCATAATTTTTTTGTTTTTTCATTTTTTAGTGCTGTTACTAATGCTTTCTTTCTCTTTTGCAGGTCTTGTGCTTTGCTAGAAAGGGTTAATAGAGACCAGGATTGAGATCTTGAACCCCAGAACTGGTACCAAGATAAGTACTAGTTTATTTTTTCTTTGTTTTTTTATTTTTTAGTCTGTTACTAATGCTTTCTTTCTCTTTTGCAAGTCTCGTACTTCACTAGGAAGGGTTAATAGAAACCGAGATTGAGATCTTGAACCTCAGAACTGGTACTAAGATAAGTACCAGTTATAATTTTCTTTGTTTTTTCATTTTTTAGTGCTGTTATTAATACTTTCTTTCT